ATTTAGTGAATAGTGTCCAACCAAAGCTCTGGTGACCTCATTGGACTTATTTGGTAGCTACTTGTCAGTTGAACCAAGTTACAACAGCTCTAGAGTCAAGATCCGATAAGGCTTCTCGTGCCACCACATGAGGTATCAGGTGAGTGCTAAAACATTGCCCCACACCACTTTGTCAACCTCTTCGCAAACGTGCTAACAAGTGTTTCCAAACATTGGGGCACTAAGTTAGCATTTTCTGAAGTGTTTTCAAAAATATTTTCACTTGCATCTCACCACATCACTAGGTCTAATGCATATTCAAGTTAATCGACACTAGTGGAACTAGACAACCATAATTGTTTTAGAGTTCTCCTCTTAGTAGTATTGCTATCTGTCCTAAACCCGACCATGCAATCTATTACATTTCAGACGGTGAAATGAAAACCCCTAGCTTATAATTTTGCCTTTGGGCTTGTTTTCATCTCCTGTTCTCCATGTGTGAGCCTTTGCTTCATATGGCATGATCTCCATCACCACCATCTCCTAGCCTTGCTCATCACAATCATGTGGACCCTAGCTCAATCACAACACATTGAAAGCATTAGTCCACTAGTTCCACTAGTTGTCATTCAGCTATGGTTAGTTTGGCTTAGAAGGGGATGATAGCACGAGGAGCATATTAGGGGTGACCATCCCTCCTCACCTGAATTTTTCCACATTAGAAGTAACTAGCAAAACATGCACCTGCCTTACAACGGGGCGTACAATTTATTACTCGGTGATCGTATAATTTTTGTAAATTTAAATGAGTTTAGTCCAACCTTGAATCAAATAAATATAATCCTGCATGAAAACTGACAAGAGTACATTGGAAAATAAACAGAAGAAAAAATTTGTCCAACAAATCAGAAAATCATCATGGTAAGTATGTCTGAGATTTATCTCGTTGCTTCTAGTTTACCTGTTTCATGAAAAAAATACAAAACTAAACAAAAACACTGATCTCCATACGAGAAACAAAAAAATCACCAAAACAGAGAAAACTACCAAACAAATATCAGAAACCACCTTGAGAAAAAACAGAAAAAAAAAACATGTCCTATGCAGAATCGGAAACCATGATGTATAGTGGAGGAAAAAGGAACAAAAAATCATATAAAAATATGTGGAAAATTAAAATTAAAAGGGGAAATATTGCGTAAGGAAAACATAGCATCTGAGAAAAGTGGCATGGAAAAAATAATAAAAAAGCAAATTTGGAAAATCCTATATAACAAAAAGATTTTTTTGAGACGATGTAACAATAAAGATATGAGACGATAATTTTGTTGATTCAATAGTTGAAGTATATATAAGTTTTCGAAGATGGCGTATTGGAATAGGAAAGGAATTGTGTGTGTGTGTGTATATATATATATATATATATATATATATATATATATATATATATTCGATGACCGCGTATTGGAATAGGAAAGGAATTGTACAATGCAAGAGAGATAGCATGAGATAATTGTTGCCATATACGTCCACAAAACCATCCCACGACAAACTTAATATACTCCAACCATCCGTGGTTTAATATTCAGGGTAAGATTTATCTTATTTTTATTTTTGGTTTTCCTTTTCTATTTGATCAGGATTTCTATTCCTATTCCGTTTAGGATTAGAATTCTAGCTATCCAAGTTATCTCAAGAGTCCAGGTCACATACATGATCCAATACGTTTTAGAATCGGACTCCGTATCGCGCTAGATAAGAGCTATTATAACTCGTATAAGCACAGGTTATATATAAGTCCGGACGGAGGAAACTCTCCATTGTCTGTTAGTCAGAGGGATACGGACCAAAAAAATGTACGGACAAAAAATGGGTTGAATTCTAGCTATCCTGCAGTGCTTGACTTTGTCGCTGTCATTTGGCTTTCGTAGCAGATACTTTGCCACCATCCTCTCTCTCAATATGGATGCTTGGCCATCTTTGTTTTCGTTGGCGGATGCTTTCCCGCCGTTGTCGTTGGTCTCCTCTCTGGCAGATGCTTTGCTGCTGAGAGTATGATGGCCTTTCCCCTCTGCATATGCTTTGCCGCAGTGGGTGTCTTCGCTCCCCCCCCTGGATGCTTGGCCGTCGGTAGAATCCCTGGCGGATGCTTTGCCACCATTGGCTCTTTGGTCCCTCTCTGGTAGATGCTTTGCCGCCGAGAGCGTGCTAGCTACTTCTTAGCTGTCATGGTCGCTTGGTCTTTGCTAGCAAATGCTTTGCCGCCGTTGCTACTGGATGTCAGTTTTCTTTGGTAGTTTGCCTACAAAATACACCATTGCATTGTTGTATCCTATTCTTGCAGGCTCAGTTGGGATTTTGGGTGTTGAGAGCGGTAGCTCTTTTCTTTCTTTTTTTCTTACGTTTATTCTAGATCACTCACACTAGAGTTTGGTGGTTTGTAATCTATGTTATGTGGGTTCTTTCGTAGACGTGTCGTGTAATTCTCTTTCTTTTAATAAAAATGGGCTATATTCCCCTATAAAAAACTTATCCCAAACAAAGCCTTATCTCTGCACTAGATCGCCTTTTTTAGCCTTACTCGGCTCGTTTTAGTGGTGCATGAACTGAAGTTATTATTGAGGATGGGGCCGTTCGTTGGTCTTATAAGACCAGCCAGCCGGCTGATCCCCCTCTCAATGCACTGTTCACCAAACCAGGGAAACAGTGTTTTCTCTCACAACAAACCAGCCGGAACAGTGTTTTTCAGCTAAGTTTCCGACTAGCGAACGGGACCGATATATAACCAGCTTACCAAATTCTGGGCCCGTGCCGTCAGGTCTCTTGCGAGACTCTTTATTTTGTCTTGCACATAGAGAGAAGGCGAGCAGTGAGTGATGGTGACCCCACCTGCCATGGCCATGGGATGCCGGATGCGGCGTAGGAGTAGTAGTACCATAGGCTAGGCAAGTGTTAGGGTAGGGATGCCATGGTGTGATTGTAGCGCCAGTAGGAAACCGTCGAAGATAAACGACAAGGTAGAAGGGTGAGAGGTGGCATGATGGAGAAGGCCACCCAGTCAAGTCAAGAAAGGAGGCTTTTGGCGTCATATTTGCTAGCTTATAATCTGTACTTTTTTAGTCAACGAACAGTATTTTTTTTTCACAACAAATCAGCCAGCAGTACTTTCAGCCATGGCTTATCAGCCAAACAAACCGAGGGTGGGATAGTTAGTGTTCAGTCAGCGTCAGATACAAATATCTTCCTCGTCCTCGGACCATCCCTCGTGTACAAGTACAATCCATCCCATAGTAGTATCACGTAGTAATAACTAGGCGTTTCAGTCAAATGTAATAATGTATAACTAGAAGTATCTGATGTTAATAATGCCGGATCATCCGACAATACAGTTTAAATCTCCCAAGCTAAGGAAATTAAAATACCCTGCGTGGACAAGCGTCCATCCATGCTCTCGTTAACTGAATACTGGCAGTACTGCATCTGCATGCATGAGGCCCAAGCTCCCTTTTTTATAAAATTAGGCGGTGGCTTCCTCTAATTAATGCTCCTTGTCTCCCTTCTTGCTTGCTTGCTTTATTTATGTGGTGTGTCTATCCATCCGCTCCTCTGAATACTAGACACAGCGCGTCCTATACCCAACATTACATTGGCTTTATTATTTCTTGCCTCTCACCTGCACTGCACGGCTGCACCATGCATGTGACAATCCTAAGCTGAACCTCTTCCTCTTCGTGAAGGATACATTGGATCACTTCCTTAATTAGCGTTATCTTGTTTGATGATCAGCCGGTTTCGTTTTGATATGCTCCAAATTCAGAGCCTGCTTATGTGTCTCTTCACATATTCGCATTTCAACAACACATATCCCCTCCAAGCTATTTATCCAACAAGCGTGTTGCATATTGGAATCGGCTGCAACGTGGTTTTAATTTTCGCGTTCCATGGGTGGTCGTTTATTTTTAGATTTGGATTTCAATAATGTACAGTTTTTTGGTAAACTTTAGTCGTGATTGGATGATGTGTCATAGTCTGTGATAATTTGAACTGGTTCCTCTTCTTTATAAAAAAGGGGATGAAGTCAACTTTTTTTCATTGTTCAAAAAAGAAGACATGTCCTCCATCGTCATCCATATGACAACATTCAGGACACCGGGTATCAATGACCATTTCGTGACTGCCAGTATTTATATATGCAACTTATCGCCCGAATACCAGTACATTGTAAGCGTACAATTTCACAGGAGTCGATCCTAGGGCGTGTACAAACCACACGCAATCGCCTACAGGCTGGTAGCAGATCTCCTTTCAAGCCATTGCTTCACACGAACTCTTGTTGCATGGAGGCTTTCGTCTGAGCTACCTACCGTACAAACCCAGAATCTCACAACAAACGTGCATCAAACAAGTCTAGATTCAACTAGTTGCTCATGCAACCGACATGATAATCTCCATATACTTTGATTGCTCGTTCGATACAAATTAGGAACGATCACGCAAAATCATTGTGGGTTAACACTTTAATGTCCCTAAAACGACGGAAGGATCCAGCCTCAGAACTCCACGTAAACTCCATGTTAATAATAACTTTATAAAGTTTTTGTACAAAATTGCTAAAAAAAAACATGCTGATGTTATCCGCATCCATGCTGATGTTAGCACTTTGATCACCAAAAAGACTGCCTGCCAAAATTCAGTTGCTGCAGATTGCATAGAAGCTGACCATCCATGCTGATGTGCACTTTTTTTTAGCGAAGATGTCAGTCCTTTTCTTAGGAACTTATACGCCCACCAAAAAAAAAATCGTATGACATTATTATTCACTGTGATGCTTGTGTTCGTCCAAACTAGGCGGTGACAATGGTGGAACAGCAGATACATCAGACCGCATCATTTCCGCGACACTTAGTACATTGAACATGTCGTATTTTCGTGAGGCCAACGATTCCTGCACCATACAACATAGCAAATCATATCCCTGAATATCAACGGATTGCAGTATCTTTCTAGCAGATGCCTTAGAATCAGTAGCTCCAACCACTCTTGTCAAGTCCCCAGGTGTGGTAACATTTTGGCTCTGCGCATTGGTTTTCTTCTTCATCAATGTCCCCGTCCCTCACAGCATTGAGAGTTTGGCATTCACAGCAGGTTGGCCAGCTGCAATGGCGGAAGTGAAGACACCAGATTCGCGCAGACTCTGAATAAAAACCATGTGTATGTCCTTCTTCAATTGATAACTTGTCTTATTAAGAAAATGACCTTCCTGCATGAAACCAGAGAACTACTGTTAGTATGGCTCATCAACTTAATTCCCGATAATTAAAATATCCCTTTATTCTTGTATATCACAGAAAATGATAGTGATTTCACATTGGGATACCATCCGGTCCCATCGCATTGTTGGTACCCACCATTTGGTCCATATTCTCACCATTGAACAATTTATCAAAATACTCTTGCCATCGATATTTCACCAAGAGATGCTCCTTTTCATCCTTAATGCACTTAACTTGGTTGAAGTCCGTGTCTTTTTCTCACGAACCCTAGCCATCCTATAAATGTCCTTCTCTCCTTCCTTCAGTACTCAAATGTTGGTAAAGATCCTTGTAGCCACACTTTTTTGCCACTTGTACTTTTTTGTCCACACTTATGTAGAGTATGTTGTCTTTTCTATCATGTTGTCCTTCTCTCCTCATGGTACAAGCGTCTATAGCATTCTTTCTTCTCCTTAATAGCCCTTTGGACTTCCTCGTTTTCCTCAAAATTTTAAGTTCAGCTGTTTATCATTCCACACCTTCCAATGACACGTTCATTGTACCTGGCCAAAAAAATAAACAAGAAATCATTACAAGAAAAATTAAAGAAAAAAAAATAGCAAACCAACACTAAAATCCATTTCTATGTAAGAGAAAAAAAAAGTTGGTTTGAAAAAAAAAATAGCAAACCAACACTAAAATCCATTTCTATGTAAGAGAAAAAAATGTAATGCCACAATTTTAATGCATTCAACTGGCACCAAGAGGCAGCTGGAATAGTGTGTGTAAATATTAGATCTTTCCATGAAATAGTCCAGTGTAGTCTGATTGTTCCAGATTCAGGGCAAAGGCTGCCATGTAAGGTTTGGATTTAGGGTTTTAGTCTGATTCACCTTAACGCAATAAATTATGTTTCATGTATTCTGTCATAAAAAAGAAAACAGTATCTATTCAAAAACCTAATAAGACCTTGGGACTTTTGAGTTTTGAGTCAAGCCTTCTCAAGTTGGTCCAGACTTGGGCCATGTTTTCTGGTGAGGCATTTGAGGACTGTCTCGTTCTGAAAACCCCAAGTCCCCAACATGTGATTTCATTGAGGTTACTATCTTGACCCTATAGGTTGCAACTTGGGAACCGTTATGCATCCACTTGTTACCATGTGCTTGAAGTTAGAAAGTTATTTCATTGTTGAATGAGTAACCACCATACCAAATGATGGCTGTACTAGTATAGTATAGGTAGACAGACCATACCTGAGGAAGAAGACATGACATGGAATAAAAAACTATTTTAACCTTCTAAAACCCTAAATCCTGTTTGATCAGGGAAAAAATATAGTACAGTGTGATCCCTTTTACGAGGACATTTTTGACTTGAATAAACCCTTAAGAAATAATCTCTAAAGTTAAGGAAACTCATCTCCAAGACTCCAACACAGACTAAACCTCTTGTAAAAAATAATCCAAATACGAAAACTGTTAGTATATCTAACTTCCATGTTCCATTCAATCAAGTGCCATTCTGAACTGAGTGAACAGCACTGCACCGTCTTTAAAGCATTACACAATCACAAAACAATTAAGCAAAGAAAATTACCAGCGAAGCATTTCTTCTTCACTAGCAGTCGATGCAATTATAAAAGCCCGCATAGCAAATGTTTAAGTTAGTGGTAGAAGGGACAGTAGCTAGCTGAGTCATCCAGTGGGAAGCACCAAGAACAGCATATATTTCTTGAGCTTCAGAATTACATATAAAAGCATCTTCACTTACCGCTCTGTCAAAATCCAACATGAAACATCTCTTAACATCTTCTTTTGTAGGCTTGCATCCACAGCGATCGCGTCTAGATGTCAAATCTGAAAATTTAGTGTATGTATAGTGCAGAACTGCAGCCTCCTCCAACTTGATCTCACTGTTAGTGATGTGCCAAAATATTGTAAGAATAACTCTATTCTGAGATGTACTCCCTCCAATCACAAAAAAAAATTACATATTAGATATTGACAGGTATCCAGATTGAACTTGTTGAGACAGATAAGATTTTCATGTTCTTGATACCAAATGATGTCTTACTAATAATTTAAGACACAAGAACTCGTGACCAGAGGTAGTACTGATGAACATATATGATAATGCCAAATCAAATGTTGTCAAAATATCCTTACTTTGGGCTCTTTACATAATTATGCCACCTGTGTGCACCATTAGGGCGGAGATGGTCTTGAATTCGTGCAGCAGATTTTCCATTACCATAAGTGAGAAAATAATTAGGATTTCCACGCGTCGCTTCCTTATACATGCCAAAGTAAGTATCTTTAGGGAGATGATCATAATTCTTCTTGAACATAGATACCTGGTAAGATATTGCCATGCAAAAACAGTTTGTCATGATAAGATCATTATTCAGTGGTACTGCTCGCCTACTACAATAGTTGATGAAGGTTCATAAGTTGCAACTGGTGCAGTATATGAGATATTTCCCATGCTCAAAATGATAACAAAAGATATCTTATAGTATAGATAAACACATCTACATAATGTGTGATCCCATCAGAATCTCTTGATCTGCTGTTGTTCTTGGGCATGCTAGGGCATCATGATTTGTTGCCCATACACCACATCCTCTATTTTGCCTCTTTTCTTTTTCATGACTAGATAACTGAACATGCATTGTAACAGACCTAAGATGATAGTACCAGAAGTTGTAAGCTTCAAAACAAACTGCATGATTTTCCCCGCAGAAATCTAGTGGGCTCTTGGTGCTTCAAAGAAACTTAAAAGTAGTACTAAAGAAGTGAACAAAGCAACCATGGAAAGTTCACAGCGCACAAATAATTATCCTTGAATCCAAAAAAACCTTATAAAATTGCATCCTATCTGCAGGCCACCTAAAATTGTATCATAACACGTGTGCACACAGGTATAGATGACCCCAACTTAAGCAAAGGTGAAGCCATAGTCGCCAGAACCAACTCATTTTTTTCTAAAAATATACAATTTACTGAACTGGCTAAACTCCATATACACTTATACAGTACATAATTAAAATACTTCAATTTTAATGTTTGCAAATCTTCCTAAGTGAAAGTCTGAATGAGCAACAAGGAACGCAAGTCCAAATTAATTTTCAAGCAAACGTAGATAGTCACAAAGTACTTGAGTAGGACTCGCTTCATGCAGGAATTATAAGCAAGGAACAAAGAAAATCTGAATAAATGCATATAAAATATCCAAGAATTTAAAAACAACAAATTGAGCTTCCACTATAGATGCCTTATAAACACGGGCAGAAACTAGTAACTACAGCATGCAATCATTCGCAAACAAAATGAACTAGTTAAGTGCCCACAATTAGAGGAATAAAGTTGCTCCCAGTTTTGTATATGTGCTTGTCAAAATGAAAAGAAAATGAATGCATTAACTTCATGGTGTATAAAAGTTTCATGATGAGTAGAGGTGTTATTCTCAGATGCACAAAGTTATGTTAACATGTGGTTTGCAAACAATGGTATATAGGTTGGCGCTTAAGGGGCGAAAAGAAATTAAAAAAAAGGCTTACTTCGCTGAATGGATCTTTTATATTGTCGCGCTCAACACTGCTTTCCTGAAGACATTTAAGTTAATTAGTCATTGAAATTTTGTGGACAGCCAGACATATGAGTAGCAAAGCAAAACTTGATTCTTGGCTTTTTTTTTTACTTACATAGTTTGGAAAAATACCCATGTCAACATCACGAGGGACCTCAGCTAACAAACGTCTAACAGAATACTCAGCAGCTCCACCAGGATAGAGTAACTCATCAGTGTCTAGATGTATGATCCAATTCATGCCACCATCCTTCAACAAATAGCATTGTCCTTAGTGTATGAAATGCCTAAAGAAAAATCTCAAAGAAAAACTAGAAACCTAAATTGTTGCATAGCAGTACCAGTGACTAGCTAAAGCTACAAATGAAAAGCTCAATCATTCATATAACAGAATAAACAGCAGATATAACAGACAAGAGACATACCCGAGCCATTACAATAGCCATCTCCATGTTGAGTGATTGCTTCACAAAGAGTTCATAGTTGCAAGGTTTGTAGAAAAATCCTGAAAGCCAAGTCTCGTTCCAGATTCGACTTGAGCCCAAGCAATAAAATACATCAGGAAGGTGACAGAGATGAGCGATAGAAACTCTATCAAAGAACATGCCAAGCCAGACATTATGCCATGCTATGTCCTAAAAGTGGGTTACTAGTACTAGTAGGCATGGAAAAATTCTCCCTTCGTCCGTCATTGTCAATGGTTGAATGCGGTCTGACTTAATTTTGTCTGGCTACACCAGGAACCGTATCCTTTTGATTCTCACTTTCAAAATTGAAACGAAATGCAGAAATCATTATGTGGTTATTCTTTATGGGATTTTTTTTTATTTAGAATTCTAGGGCAATTCTTTATGGGATTTATGTGGTTCTTAGCAGAAAGGAAATGGCACACAAAAGTTGTTATCGAAAACAGCGGACTGGGAATACGAAGCTGACCTCCGTGCCTGCCGCTCCTCAAGATCCTTGGTTCTGTACACCACTTTTACCCCCTTCCGTAATCAATCAATCAAGAAGACAAACAAAGGCACTGAAATTAGTGCTGGAACTGCGGAACTGGGAAGGATCAAGAACACAAACGCACAGAGAATTCTGCCACCCACAGGAATTGACTCGAGGACTCCTTTGACCGCCTTCCCCTCCACGAAGAGCAGGAACTGCGCGACGCCGACGACCTTGTGATAGAAGAGCCAGGGCAGGAACTGCTCAAGCCCCGCAGAGGTGTGGGCTGGAGATGTTCCTCCACAGAAGCCATGGTCTGGATGGCAGCGCCCGAGTCGGAGGGGAAGGACCAGCCGCGGAGGTAGGGGAAGGAGGGGGCGGAGGATCCCACGAGCACATCGGTGCAGTCGGACGAGGGGAGGGACGGTGGGGTGGGCTCGGCCATGCCGGGGAAGGCGTGGGAGGGCCAGCGCGTGGTCGGGTCATCGACGCCGCCGCCGCCGCGCCACTGGAGCACGAAAGCCAGCGCAGCGAGCGTGAGCAGGAGGACTGTCAGGAGCAGGAGTAGCTGGCGCCACGCGGCGCCGCCGCCGGAGGGCGCCTGCGCCGGCGGCATCGAAGACGCCCCGATCTGTCGAGGCCGGTTGTGGTGGGTTTTCCGTTCGTTCCGCGTTCCCCCCTTTGGGCCGTTTCTCTTCGATTTGGATGGCCCATTTTCAGAAGGGGTTTCCAGTTTCCACCCTGGAATTCGTGATTTTGAGCATTATTTAACTTTCATGAAATTGCATTCAAATACTTCTATAGTATTAACACATTTTTACTAATTTATTGCTAATAAGTTGTTCACGCCTATTGGCACCTATTATCATATCTACTTTTTTTTTGAAACATATTATCATATCTACGAGTGGAACTAATACTTAGCAGCTTTCTAGCTAATAGTTAGTTGGTCTATTAGTAGGTTTGTTTGAGTCTACTAGTGCTAATTTTAGTTGCTAACTATTAAAAGTAGTCGATCCAAACGGACCCTAAACTATTATAAAACTAGTCCATAAAACAGTTCATAACAAAAGATACTAATTATCGATCATCCACAAGTAGTTGGAAATAATTCTTCCTCTATCCACAGTTGCATCCCGCGAGCTAGAGGAGAGTGAAGGCAGCAAATATTCTCTTTTATCATGGGCTAACAAATATTTTTCTTTATCATGCAAACACGCTAGAGAAGAAATGGAACTTTCTCAAAAATGGAACAACTAAAGAATTCAGCGTGGACTGTAAAGCCAAGTGTAAAAGAAATAGGAGTTGATCGGATCAGGAAAAGGCAGCTCAAGGTGTTAATTAAGAATATAATAAACCTTGAAAGTATAATTATTTCCCTTTTATTTTCCATAACCGTGAGATTTTAAGTCCTTTTTGCGCATGATCTCACTGTCACGACGAGATTGCTATGTGAATTTGCCCAATATATTATAATTAGATACCACGTGTTGCTACGGAGATTTTATAAAAATACATTACTATAGTCTATGTAACAAATAAGAACTATAGACCTTTAGGCACTCAAAATAATTAGGCGATAATACTGCTGTACGGAAGGGTGGGATGAGGTTTTGACACATGTAACAGTTTGAACTTCAGTAACATTCGGTTAGAACTTGGATAGAATTGAAAATATAAATTTCAGAATAATATATAGGAAAACACTTGTGGACCTAAGCAGATAAAAGACATAGCAACACAAAATTTGCCTCCGTTCTGAGTGTGAAAATTGCTTCCTCTCTCCTGCACATGACAGTGGCGCATGAGCTGATGAGCATGAGAGAACAAGGATCAGCGAAAGGATGCGTGGTAATTACCTAGCGATAGTAAGCAAGTGAAAGAATGGCACGCCATTCAGAGCAATAAGCCAATGACGTTAAAATACATTAACTGACACGCTCATTTGTGCTTGATGATGGCAGTGGACGACGCCTGCCGCTGCCGGCCCTGGTATGCGTCGGCGTACTCTTGCGTGGCTCGATCCCTCAATCTCAGAACGCGAGGCCGCCGCAATTGTCCCTTGTGAGGGCGTGTAGGCTCGATGTCCCGCCGAACGCCCCGTGGGCGGCTCAGGCTATGCGGCAAACACAGGGGATCCCGCCGGCCGAGACGACACGTACACGTAAAAGACAGGCCTGATTGCCGTGGCCTGCCCTGCCCTGGGGCAGCGTCGAACGCGAGGTGACAGCGGGCGGGAGGGACGCCAGGCTTGCCCGTACGCTGGCTCGGTAGGAAAGATCCACGCTCGCACCAGAGCAAGTCGAGGTGCGCGGGTTATAACCTGACGGATACACCGACGGTTGAGTTCTGGATTGGTAGTGGAAAATCCAAGGCATTTGGAGATGACGATAGAGGAGAAATTAAAGAGGGAAGTGCGGCGGTTACTGAAAGGAGTAGTGGGAGAGATCATGGGTCATGGGGAAAGGAGAAAAGATCGAGGCACATGGGGGAAGAAGAAAAGGCTTCTAGTCTCACATTCAACGAAGGAACAAAGAAGTTCGGACCCATATATATGAAGTGGCTTCCTAGAATCGAAAAGGCATATGGTAGTGGGGATCTCTGTTTAGATATAGGAGATAACCTTTTTCAATATTTGTGTCGATAAGCTTCCATTTCCTGGTTACTCTGGAAGTCTGGGTTGCTGATCAACTTAACACACTAATTTTTCATGCAATCTTTGTGTCGACTGTCCAACGGAGACACCTCAAATACCTGCACGTACGGCAGGATGGTACTACGATTTTGTTAGACTGGAAGTTGATCTACGGCAGGATGGTTCACACGACTCTTCCATCCGTACCCAAGTCGTAATAACCAGTCGTACCCATAGCAGGGTTGACCTGATGCACTTAGAACTTCCATGCAATATATGAGAATTGAGATTCAACTTTGCACTTGTCTTTACATTCAAGATCGCCGTACAGACTAGCATAACAAAGCACACAGGGTGGAAGTGGAACCATCGAGTTGTACTCCTATTACATCCTCAAGGTCAATGCTGGCTGCTCAAAATCACTCCTCTTCCTCGTCCATGTCATTTTCACTAACTAGATGACCAAGGGAAACTTTAGCTTTTTTTGGTCCCGGCGAACTCGACGCACCAACAGCCCCTTCACTTTTCCTCTTCTCGGCCTGCCCTGCATCCTCCCCATCTTTCATAACCTCACCTGAAGACTTCCTGTCGCCCTCTTTCTCGGCAGAATCATCCTTCTTCTCCGATGGTAGCTCGGCTCCCTTCTTCATGGACTGCTCACACTCCTTCAGGAACGCACGCACTTCATCATCCTCAGCGACATGTAGAGCTGTCTGGCCACCTTTAGTCTTTGCTGCGACGTCAACGCCTCTCTTCACAAGGTACTTCACAAGATCCAGGTGGGAATTTTGCGCAGCGAAGTGCAGCGCCGTGAAGCCTTTCCGATTCTTTGCTTTCACAGAGGCCCCAGATGCCAGCAGCTCACGGGCCACTTCTACATGGCCTTTCTGGGAAGCAAAATGAATCGCTGCAGTGTCGTCCATTGCTGCAGCTCCCACATCAGCTTTGTGCTTGCAAAGGCATCTCACAACATCAACATGCCCAGCCCATGCAGCCAAGTGGAGCCTGAATGAAGAAATAACTTGTGTCAAGGAGACTGTAAAATCCAGAGGAAAAAATGACATAGAATTCTACTGCAGCAACATCACATCCTGCTCACCGAGAGACTACTCTGCCTCTATCTGAGACAATTAATTCAGCAAGAATGATACACCAAGAAAGTTAAAAATTTACTCTTGGATGCTTGCAGAATGTTAGGCACAGTGCAGCATCATATACAGCATTTCACAGATTTGTCCAGTCAACCCCTTTCCAAAAGATAAAGCCACGAGTAAAGACAACGACCTGTTGTCCTGAATTAGCAACAAATTTCAGGAACTACAGCTAGTAGATAAACGAGTTTGTGGAAGGCTAGTTTGAGAAGGAAAAGTTTATGAGTCTCTTAGTATAAAAGATAATTATCAGAATACATGCTGCAAGGGGCAAATAAATAAATTCAATGGTACATGACAAAGTACACCATCCATCAGCATATACAATTCTGGGTGTAAATATGTTCCAGTAAAGCAAGATTATATCTATATTGTACCATATCACTATTGCAGAGATAAACAGAAGGCATTGATTGGATATGTTAGGGAGAGATCCTGTGGTCAAAGACTTGACAATAACGAATTATCGTACCAATGAATCAGTTTGCCCCCAACTCAAACGATCCATAGATGCAGCGACGATGAAAAAATTACACTAAGAGGAGACAAGCACCAGACTTGATCTTAACCTCTTAGGACTTAAACTCAGGTGTGGGTTGGGGATGGTACAGAGCATTGGCCTTAGGGTTTCAATGAGGTCCAGTTTGTAAACTGGAGAATTCTAACTCTGCCTGCAAATATTCCAGGCTTCCGGCATACAGAATGTTGAAGAGATTCAATTCACTACAAGCTAGTGAAATATTATAGTATGCTCAACAGTAGTTCTTGTGTGAAATAACAAGGGGCAAAGATATACAATGCCTTGTACTGTCCATGAATTAGCAGAAAAATTAAGGGATATGAATTAGCAGAAAAATTAAGGGATACGAATTAGCAGAAAAATTAAGGGATGGGTATATATAGCTTTATCGATGCACCATGCCATTTATATGTAATGGAGGGAGGTGAGGTCCAGATGCCGGATGAACAGAATTTGTGGAGTGTTGAAGACTAGTTCATTTTGTGAAAGAAAAAGCAGTGGTAAGTCAGCTGCAACAACAAAAATAACGAAGATCTGAGTTATATATCTATCAAAAGAGGCAGCAGGCGCAATTCGAAGGCTTGTTGTATTAGGGTTTAGTGACCAAGGCCCAATGGCACACATATAATTATATATACACTCTTAATAAAGAATTAAAGATGCTAACGATCCGTAACGCAAGGCACGGCTACTCGGCGCTTCTCTGCTAATAAGATAGAGAGGGAAGGACGGAGGGAAAGGGGGGATTTGCAGGGATGCTGGTGGTTCATACGGTGTGCGTGAGAGGCGGTCCCTTGAGTTGACGGCGAGAGGGTTGGACTCGCACAACGACTCCACCGCTGCCGCATCACCAGACCTTGCGGCCTTGTGCAGAGGAAGATCTTCTTCCTCATCTCGCTCACGCCCTCGCCCTCTTCCGCCTCCGCGGCCGCCGCCGCCGGGACGCCGCCCCATCAGTCTCGCGAATCGGTCAGGCAACTGGATCCATGACGTGTACTGTAGCAGAAAGGAATAGACCTCAGCCGGCCCAGACCTGCAGCATCTGAAATGGGCCTCATCGTTTTTAAGTGGATTTCGGCCTTATCCGACCCACTCTCCTTTTAAAACCTCCATCAATTTCCGCAGTAGATTTCCTTCACTCTTCATAAAATCAGAGTTTTTAAAACCATTTGTTTTTCACCTTGGACAGTTTTAGAAAATAGTTTTTTCCAATATAAAGTTTTTCGTTAGCTATAACAGGGATAGATTAGGCTTTTTATCGGATAACAACAACTTTTTTAAATATTTTTTCCTAAAAATTTATGCAATTAAAAAACCTTAAATCTGATTTAATATTAGAAAATTTACGTGACATTCTAGTGTCATTGTTTTAGAAGAGGTGTTGTAACTAAAAATTAATTGTTGAACACCCCTAAATTTGCAATACTTTCTTTTTTTGGGTGGTAAACAATTACTACCTTTGTCTCAAAAATAGATGCAATGCTAAATCAAGTCAAAGTCAAACTTAATTTGACTAAGTTTAATCTTAGAAAATATCATCAATACCTATGATTCCCAATTGATATACCTAGAAAAATTTATTTCACAACAAATTTAATTATACTTGTTTAGTATGGCAGATTCGCCAATTTAAACTAATCAAATACTTACTCGCTCACCACTGAGCACTAAGTAAGTAAGGATTAATTTAAATCTAGTCATCTGTCGAGTCCACCATCCAGGAGAACTCGAAACCATCCACATTTGATACAGGATCCATAAATGAGTAGCGAAGTATATAAATAATAGCACAAGCTTCAGTTCACATACAATACATGATTCAAATACATTACAATACCAGTTTTCGGATTGGCAGCGGAATTTAATACATAGGGATTACAATACCAGATGTTCCTTTTTACATTATTGAAAGCTTAGACTGACACTATGAATTTAATTACGATAGAAGTCGAAGTCGAAGCCCTCATTGTGCCCACTAGGGAGGACTCAACCAAGCAGAAGCGGAAGCAACACACGGGTACGCTCTTCCAAGGAAGGACCCGCAAACCGATGAACACTCGATTACACCTCAGGATTAGCATCTGCAACAAACAGGGTGGAGCAAACCTTGAGTACACGATGTACTCCGTAAGACTTACCCGACTAGGTGGGAATAGTTTCCCGACTCTCAAGGACATGTAGGAGCTATTTGTTTTGTTGGTTCATTTGCTTTTGCATGAAAGCATTACTAGGAGTGCATCCTTATACTCCGAATTTTAGCAGTCACATTAAGTTCGTCACCTATCCATTCTAGATAAGCACCTGCACTACTTTCAAGCATGTGGTAAGCAATTAGAATATCTCAACTCCCTGGTTTCATTCTTTCATCACCACATCATGTTATAATTGTTACTACGATAGTAGTGATATGACGAGTGGTATCCATATCTGAGGAGAGCGGTGATTGCAATCGATGTACATCCAGCTAGGCAATCTCAAACACACACCCATACATCTCAAAGGAGCAAGTACAAGGCAACTGTTCCAATCGTACGACCCATCTGAAAAGCGACCCGACCATCTTGGGGAACCCACCCTATGAGGCCCACCCCGCCGAGCGGCGACGGGTTTCCCCCTCATAAGTTTGATCCATGGACATCCCCGCCTCCTAACAACTCCTCGAATGATCAGTGTAACACTTCAATAAACTTTTTAGGGACCCTGAGTCATAGGAAGGTACTTAGCTTTTACGGTCAATTGTAACTCAGGCCCCTGTTATGTGTTTGGTACCTTCAAACTTGTCACAACGCTACCAACGGTCCGGTCCTTAATCGACACAGGAGGGACTAATAAGCGTATTGAAAGCATCTAGGCCCCTAGTTTGGTTTCGGTGATTAATGACAATATGAGATTACTATGACTAACGTGTGTTTTGCAGAGGCAATTAAGTTAGGTCATGGTAATAGCAATTGATTGGGCAATCATGGTTGTCATGCCCCTACGATGAAAATCGTTTCGATTTTCAAAGGATGGACGACAAGGTTAAGCATGGACTAGTTCTAAGTGTTGTTTGGTATTGAAGAGACACTTAGAGTAGTTTAGGACTTTATTTTTCCTTTGGCCGTACTATTAAGGGGGGTATGGACTAGTAGCTTGACCTAGGTGAGTCTAGTGGGTTAGGTGTGGTGCACACTTGTCAAATCTAGCACTAGGTAGCTCCGAAGTAGCCCTAAGATCAATTAGAGCAAACTTTATTCACATATGATTTCGAGTTAAAAATGAATGGAGGGTCAAATGTTGACCGGACGCTGATCTGGTTGTGACCGAACGCTGGTTGTAGAGTTCGGTCAGTTCATTTGATCAAGGAGAAGCCGTCTGGTTACGATCGGATGCTGAGTGAAATGTGACCGGACGCTGGGTGCTAGAGTCTGGTCAACTCCAGTAAGGTTCCAGAGAGGGAGAATCCTAATCGGACATGTCCGGTCAGTGCTGACCAGACGCTGGTTAGGTTCCGGTTACTGACCGGACGCTGAACAGCGAAGTGATTGGACTCTGGGTGCCAACGTCCGATCAACATCAGTAAGGTTCTAGAGAGCAGTTTTTGTGACCGAACACGTTCGGTTAGTGCTGACCGGACGCAGGTCAGAGTCTGGTCACAACTTAATGGCTCTATGGCGGGGATAACTGACTGGAGCGTCCGGTCACCTTGACCGGAGCGTCCGGTCACCCTGCAGAATGCTGACGCAACCTCCTAACGATTCGTTTTGAATGAGGGGTATAAATACTTTCTCTATTCATCCAAGAGAGGTCTCTTGCCCATTTGATCAGCTGAGAAACACCCTTGAGAGTGTTTTGGAGAGCAAGAGTTTAGAGAGGTGATTGAGATTTGAGAATCCAAGATTAAGGCCTCATTAGTGCAAGGAGAGTAGCAAGTGTGCATCCACCCTTCTCATTAGGCTTGTTGTGGTCAAGTGAGAGTTCGTACTTGTTACTCTTGGTGATTGCCATCACCTAGATGGCTTGGTGGTGATTGGGAGTTTGGTGATCATCCAACGGAGCTTGTGGATGACCCAACTCAAGTTGTGAGCGGTTGTGGGTGATTCACCGCGACAGAGTGTCGAAGAATCAACCCGTAGAGAGCACTTGATCCTTGCGCGGATCAAGAGGGAGCTACACCCTTGCGTGGGTGCTCCAACGAGGACTAGTGGGGAGTGACGACTCTCTGATACCTCAGCAAAACATCACCGTGTTCATTCTCCTCTCTTTACTTTAAGCATTTACATTTGAGCAATTCAATTCTTGTCTTTACATTCATAGAATTGCCATGCTAGAGTAGGATTAGAACTTAGGGTGCTAAACTTTTATGCGGTAGATCATTAGAATCACATTCTAGGCACAAGGGGTGAAGTGGGCTAAGTGTAGGGTTCAATTATTGCAAAGAATTTTAGAATTAGCCCAATTCACCCCCCCCTCTTGGGCATCTTGATCCTTTCAATTGGTATTGGAGCCTCGTGCTCACGTATTTAGGCTTAACCGCCTTGAGAAAGATGTCCCACGGGGATGGACCTCCTCCTATCTTTGAGGGTGATGATTTTTTTATTGGAAATCCGTATGGAGGCTTATTTAGAAGCTCTAGATGTTGAAATTCTTAGAGCTGCCTCTCAAGGCTTCCCAAAACCTAGGGATCCCCCACACCTTCAAGGTGATGAGGTCAATTATGAGAAATGGAATGCAAAGGCTAGAAACACCATCTTTAGAGGCCTTTGCAAAGATGTGTTTAATCGTGTGCGGAACCATAAGGACGCCCATGCACTATGGTCGGACATTTGTGCGCTCCATGAGGGAACAAAGAGGGAGCGTGAGGAACGCTATCATCTTGTCATGAAAAAGCTTAATTCTTTTGAGATGCTTCCTAAAGAAAGTGCAAATGAAATGTACTCACGCTTAAATATTCTTATAGAGGAAGTCAATGGGTTTGGACTTACACAAATGCAACCATCCGATGTTGTAAGAAAGATCTTGAGTGTCCTCCCCATTGATAAATATGGACATATTGTGACCGTGCTTCATCAAAGTGATCTTTCCACTGCTACACCAACTCAAATTTTGGGAAAGATCAACGCTCATGAGATGTATATGCACATTACACCACAAGATGGCTCTTCTTGTACCAAGAAGAAAGACAAAGACTTGGCATTTAAGGCTAGCCAAGAGAAGGGCAAAGCAAGAGTTGAGCATGAGAGCTCAAGTGATGATGAAATTGATGATGCAAGTCTTGCTCTCATGGTGAGAAGAACCGCCAAGATGCTAAAGAAGCTCAACAAGAACGGTGTCAAGTTTGATGGTAAGAAAAAGAAGTTCTTCACTAGCAATAGAAGGAAGCCAATCTCCGAGATGGATTGTTATAATTGTGGAGAACTTGATCATCTAGCTCATCAATGCTCCAAGCCAAAGAAAGACAAATACAAGAAAAAGTACAAGGGCAAGAAAGATGACTCAAGTAACGAAGATGAAGATGAGAAGAAGAAAAACAAGCCATACAAAAAGGATGGCAAGAAGAAGGATTTCCACAAGAAGAAGAAAAATAGCAAGGCATACATCGTCGGTGATTGGCTCACGGATATTGATTCATAAAGTTGCTCATCCAATGATGATAGTGAGAATGAGAAGGTGTCCGCTATTGTGATTGACTCCTCATCATCTTCACCGACACCACCGCCATCATCCTCTACACACCTATGCCTTATGGCCAAGGGTAAACAAAAGGTATCAAATGATGATGAAAGTAGTGGTGATGGACATGCTAGCAATGATGATAGTGATAGTGATGATGAAGAATTTGAATCACCTTCATATGATGATGTTGTTAAATTGCTAAATCAATACACTAAGATCATTAGAAAGTCAAGAGCCTTTTAGCTAAATGTGACATAGCGGAAAAGGCTAGTGTTGAGCTTAGAGAAGCAAATGATGCC